TAACCCACATCTATAAAGCCATCAAATCAACCATAAACCACATCTATAAAACCAATAAATCACCATGAAACATCTATAAAAAAACATCAATCACATAAACCACATCTATAAAAACACCAAATCACCATAAACACATCTATAAAAAACACAAAATCACCAAACCACATCTATAAAACAATCAAATCACCATAAACACATCTATAACAAAAATCACCATAAACCACATCTATAAAAACCATCAATCACCATAAACCCAATCTATAAAAATCAACACCATAAAAATCATAAAACATCAAATCACATAAACAATTCTATAAAAAACACAAATCACCATAAACCAATCTATAAAAAACATCAAATCACCATAAACACATCTATAAAAACATCAAATCCATAAACCAATCTATAAAAACACATCAAATCACCATAAACCACATCTATAAAAACCATCAAATCACATAAACATCTATAAACACATAACCACATCTATAAAAAACACAATCACCATAAACCACCATCTATAAAAACATCAAATCACCATAAACCACATCTATAAAAACATCAAATCACCATAAAACCACATCTATAAAAACACCAAATCACCATAAACCACATCTATAAAACATCAAATCACCATAAACCACATTATAAAAAACATCACATAACACATCATAAAAATATAAATCACCATAAACCACATCTATAAGAAAATCAAATCCCATAAACCACATCTATAAAAACACCAATCACCATAAACCACATCATAAAAATATCAAATCACCTAAACCACATCTATAAGAAAATCAAATCCCCATAAACCACACCATATCTATAAAAAACATCAAACCATAAACCACATCTATAAAAAATCAATCACCATAAACCACATCTAAAAAAACATCAAATCACCATAAACCACATCTATAAAAAAAACATCAAATCACCATAAACCACATCTATAAAAACATCAAATCACATAAACACATCTATAAAAAAACATCAAATCACATAAACACATCTATAAAAAACATCATCACCAAAACCATTATAAAAAACATTCAATCACCATAACACATCTATAAAACATCAAATCACCATAAACCACATCTATAAAAACATCAAATCACCATAAACCACATCTAAAAAACATCAAATCACCATAAACCACATCTATAAAAAACATCAAATCACCATAAACCACATCTATAAAAAACACAAATCACCATAAACCACATCTATAAAAAATAAATCGCCATAAACCACATCTATAAAAAAACACCAAATCACCATAAACCACATCTATAAAAAAACACCAAACACCTAAACCACATCTATAAAAAAAAAAATCACCATCCACATCTGTATAAAAAAAAAATCACCATAAACCACATCTATAAAAAAAATCAAATCACCATAAACCACATCTATAAAAAAAAACATCAAATCACCATAAACCACATCTATAAAAAAATAAAATCACATAAACCACATCTATAAAAAATCAAATCAATAAACCACATCTATAAAAAACATCAAATCACCATAAACCACATCTATAAAAAAACATCAAATCACCATAAACCACATCTATATAAAACAATTAAAGTAAACACAATTTTTCCCCAAAACACCAACAGATCGGATCTGAGTGCAATACTGTTCAACTTCAGAACAATAACACACCAAAACGTAACCAGAGATGAACACAAAAGAACAATGAACTTAGAAGAAAAAAAATTGACCTCCTAACCTAGTCTCATGGTGTATTTTAGGAAAAAAATGATAAAAAACGAAAGTAGAAAAACTTGTCTGTCTTCTTATGATATTATTTTCCCGAGTTTTTTTTCCTCTCTGAAAAAAATTGGAGAAAAAAACTCGTTTTCTTCCTGTAATGGTGTTTTTTTCCTATTTTCACCCTAGAGAGAGAAAACAAATGCGTATAATTTTATAATACTCGAAATTAGTAAAAAAAAAAAAAAGTAAAAGCACACACACACACTCATACACACACACACACACCACAACACACACACACACAACACACACCACACACACACACACACACATACACACATACACACATACACACACCACACACATATGTACAGAGAGAGAGAGAGAGAGAGAGAGAGAGAGAGAGAGAGAGAGAGAGAGAGAGAGAGAGAGAGAGAGAGAGAGAGAGAGAGAGAGAGAGAGAGAGAGAGAGAGAGAGAGAGAGAGAGAGAGAGAGAGAGAGAGCGAGAAGATAGATAGATAGATAGATAGATAGATAGATAGATAGATAGAGAGAGATAGAGAGAGAGAGAGAGAGAGAGAGAGAGAGAGAGAGAGAGAGAGAGAGAGAGAGAGAGAGAGAGAGAGAGAGAGAGAGAGAGAAGAGAGAAGAAAAAGAGAAGAAAAAAGAGAGAAAGAGAAGATAGAGAGAAAAATAAAGTGAAGCGCGCCGAGCGAGCTGTGGGAAGACAACCGGTCTGGTGGCCACGCCCATCGCGGTCGAAGTCACGTGCTTTTGACCTTTGACCTCGATTTTCAGCTGACGTATACAGAGAACCTTGTGAGATTACAAATACACACGCAAATAATTACGGGCATGCATACTTACAAATATATAAGTTATGCACAAGTGAATATACCCTGTTTATATACTTATTGGGGTACGTGCACATATACATACACATACACATACACATATATACATATACATACACACACACATATATATATATATATATATAATATACATACACACACACTCACATACACTATATGTATATGTATGTATGTATCATATATATATATATATATATATATATATATATATATATATATATATATATATATATATATATATATAACTATATAACTATATAACTATATATATAATATAACTATAACTATAACTATACTATATATATATATATATATATTATATATATATATATATAATATATATATATATATGTGTGTGTGTGTGTGTGTGTGTGTGTGTGTGTGTGTGTGTGTGTGTGTGTGTGTGTGTGTGTGTGTATGTGTGTGTATATATGTGTGTGTGTATGCATACACACATACATACATACATACATATACACACACACACACACACACACACACACACACACACACACATCACACACACACACACACACACACACACACACACACACATATATATATATATATATATATATATATATAATATATATATATATATATATATATATATGCATATATTTATCGATCTATCAATTCAATACACATATATTTTTCTATCTGTACGATAGATAAATGAGAAGAGGAGGAGAGGCGAACAGAAGAGAGAATGAAAGGCGACACAAAAGTCACGTGATCGAAAAGCCCACGTGACTCCTTCTCATTCTCTCCTCCTCCTCCTTCCTTTTTCTTCTTCTTCCTCCTCCTCTTCTCTTCTTCCTTCTCCTCCTCTTCTTCTCTTTCTCTTCCTCCCCTTCTCCTATTCTTCTTCTTCCTTCTTTTTCTTCTTCTTCTCCTCCATCACTCCCTCTCCTCCTTTCTTCTTTTCTTCTTCGTCTCTTCTCTTCTTATCCTTCATGTTCTCTTCTTCTTTCTTCTTCCTCCTCCTCCTCCTTACGACAAACCACGTGACAAAATGACCCGCCATCACGATGTATCCACATAAAAAAAGATAATAAAAGTAACACTAAAAGAAAAAAAAAACACAAGGAGAGAGAAAAAATAAATAAAAAAGAATAGGAAAGAAAGAGAAGGAAAGAAATTAAAACCGAAGAGATATTACCTTACCGATCTGAGATCTCGCAGCCCCGCCACGATGATCTTGATGATGGTGAAGACAACGTGTTCCTCCATTTTTTTTTTTCTTAAATATCTTCTGTACTTCCCTTATTTTGTTTGTTTTTTGGGGAGGTTATTTAGGATTTTTCTATGGCGATTGGATATTTCTTCTTCGTTCACTTTTTTTTTCCTGTAGTCTTTGTTTTTTTAATAGATTTATGTTCGTTTTTTGGGGGGGTTTATTTTTAGGTATCGTCACAATCGGAAGTTATCGTTCATCGTGCAACACTCCTGTTTAGAAATCGCTCGTCTGTGAAATTAAATAGATTGTTTAACACTTATAATATAATTGTTCTTGTTGCGTTTGTACGATTTTCTTTTATAAATGCTTTAAAAATCGGGTTATTAGCAGACGAATATATACGACACTGAACCACAATTCTCCATGGTAAGTTTCTTTTATTTACCTAAATAGGTAAAAAGTTTGAAGTTTAAGGTTTCTGGTCGGACCGCAGATGAGACTCGGCAGTTAGGAGTTTTTTCTTTGTGTGTGTGTGTGTGTGTGTGTGTGTGTGTGTGTGTGTGTGTGTGTGTGTGTGTGTGTGTGTGTGTGTGTGTGTGTGTGTGTGTGTGTGTGTGTGTGTGAATGTTCAGTATACATACATATATATATATATATATATATATATATATATATATATATATATATATATATATATATATATATATATATATATATATATACACGGAATTATAAACAAAAAGAAAAAATATAACATCCTTAACAAAACAAAACAACAATAAAATAATAATGACAATAAAAAAATAAAAAATACACCACAAAAATAATTAAATACCCAACGGACTCCAACCTACCGCGCTGTTGCCACGTCTCCTCCTAAGACAAGGTTAGGTCTCCCAAAATTGGTCTTTTCTGCCAACCTGTCGGTCTGGAAACCTATTTCTTATGTTTAGCGACTTGAATATTCATCAGTTATTGTTTAATATTGTTTTTATTGTTTGAAATGATAAGGATGTATATAAGTTTTCTAACTTTTATCAAATGATTGTTTTTTTTTTCTCGCTAGTTGATCAATACATACACACACGAGCACACACAGATACATATGCGCGCGCGCACACACACACACACACACACACACACACACACACACACACACACACACACACACACACACACACACACACACACACACACCACACACACACACCACACGCACACACACACCACACACCACCCTCCCACACACAGAGAATGAAAGAAGCGATAACGAAAGAAAGAAAAAGAGAAACAATGAAATAAAAAGGAGAAACGGAGGAACAAAGTAACGTTATCTGCCAGTGGTTCTTACTGTCGTCTCGTCATGTCTCATATCTCGTCCCTTTGTTCTTAATTATCTTCGTTTCCTTCTTTCTCTTCGTGTTTTTTGTCTCTCTCTTTTATTTCTATCTCGAAGTCTACGTCCAGTTTATCTATTTCTTTTTTCTATTCTTGAGAAATTTTCCTTTTTTTATCGTTTCTTCTGTGGACTCTTTATCGCTCTCTTCTATTTCTCAACCTTTGATTTCTACTTTCATTTTCACTTGTTTTCTTTTGTTTCCTCTCTCTCTCTCTCTTGTGTTTTTTCCCTTTTATTACTCTCTCTCTCCATTCCCTGTCTTCCTCCTCCTCCTCTCTCCTCCCCTTCCCTCCTCTCTCCTTCCCTTCCATCCTCTCTTCTATTATTAATCTTTTTCGTGTTTTCCTTTCCTCCTCCTCCTCTTCCTCTACTTATTCCCCTCCTCAACTTCCTCTTCCCGCAATTCTCTTCTCCTCCAATACTCTTCTCTCCTTCCCTCATACCCTTCTTCCCTCTCATCCTTCTTTCCTTTACACCCTTCTCCTCTCCTTCCCCCTTCCTTCATCCTAAATCCTTCTCTTAGTCTTTTTTTCTCCCTTAACTCATACACTTCCCTCCCTTTCCCTTTCCTCTCCCTTTTCTCTCCTCTCCCCTCCTTTCCCTTCCTCTCCCTTCCTCTCTTCTCTCCTCCCTTCCCTTCCTCTCCCTTCTCCTCTCTTCTCTCCCTCTCCCTTCCCTTCCCTCGCTCTCCCTCTCCCCTCCCTTCCCTCTCCGTCTCCCCTCCCTTCCCTCACTCGCTCACCTCGAAAATGTTAACCGGGAGAGTCCTTATCTCCTCCTCTTCCTCCTCCTCCTTCTTCTTCTTTTTCTTCTACTCCTCCACCTCTTCCTCACTTTTTTTTCTTACCTCCTCCTTTTTTTTGCTTTACTACTTCTATTCCTTCTTCTCTTCTTCCTCCTCCTTCTTCTTCTTCTCTTCCTTCATTTTTTCGTTCCTCCTCTTCCTCTTTTTCTTCCTCCTCCTCCTTCTCCTCTTTTCTTTTCTACTTCTCCTCTTCCTCCTCCCACTCTTTCCTTTCCTATTTTCCTCCTGCTCCTTTTTTTTTTTAGTTCACCTTGATTTGTTTTTCTTCAATCTGCTTATTATCCTGTTTGACCTTCTCTTGTTTGGATTCTGCTTGCTTTTCCTGTTTATTATTTTCTCGTGCAGAGGAGGTGGGGAGGGGGAGGGAGGGAGGGAGGGAGGGAGGGAGGAGGGAGGGAGGGGAGGGAGGAGAGGAGGGAGGGAGGGAGGGAGGGGGGGAGGGAGGGAGGGAGGGAGGATGGATGGATGGAATGGATGATGGGGATGGGGATGGGGAGGGGAGGGAGGGAATGGGATGGATGGATGGAGGGAGGGAGGAAGGGAGGGAGGAGGGAGGGAGAGGAGGGAAGGGAGAGGGAGGGGGAAGGGAAGGGAAGGGAGAGGGAGGGAGGGAAGGAAGGGAGGGAGGGAGGGGAAAAAGGAAGGAAGGGGAAGAGGAAGAAAAGAAAGAAGGAGATAAGAGACCAAGAAGAAAGAATGGAAATAAGGGAGGAAGAGGGATAGAAGGGAGGGAGGAAGAAAGAGGAAGGAAAATAAGAAGAAGGGAGGAAATTATAGAGAGAAGAAAAGGAAAGGAAAAAAGTAGAAAAAAGAAAAAAAAATCAGGAAAAAAAAAAACGCGAAAGGGCAACGGGAAATAACAGGAAGAAAACGGAAAAGACACGCAGGGTAAACTACAACAAAACACAACAAAAGAAAAAAGAAAAAAAGAGGGACTGGGAAATTAACATCAGAAGGGGAAGAAGGGAGGGAAGGAGGGAAGGGAGGGAAGGGAGGGAGGGAGGGAGGGAGGGAGGGAGGGGAGGGGAGGGAGGGGAGGGGAAAAGGAAGGGAAGGGAGGGAAGGAAAGGGAAGGGAAGAAAGGGAAGGGAAGGGAAGGGAAGGGAAGGGAAGGAAAGGGAAGGGGAAGGGAAGGAAGGGAAGAGGGAAGAAGGGAAGGGGAAGGAGAAGGGAAGAGGAGGGGAATGGAAAAAGGGAGGGGACGGGAAGAGTAGAGGGGGGAAAAAATAAAATAAAACGAAGGCCACGGAATCCCCCAGCAGGAATCCCTTGATCCCGCGCGTGTGGAGCTGCTCTCGCGCGTGTGGCGAAGGTCCTTGACTCCCGAAGGACTCAGGCCTTGTGGGAAATGCTTGCGGGGGGGGGGAGAAGGTGGGGAGGGAGGGGGGGGAGAAGGTGGGGAAGGGAGGGGGGAGAAAGGGGGGAGGGAGGGGGGAGAAGGTGAGGGGGGAGGGGGAGAGGTGATGGGGAGGGAGGGGGGGAGAAGGTGGGGGAGGGAGGGGGGGAGAAGGTGGGGAGGGAGGGGGGGAGAAGGTGGGGAGGGAGGGAGGGATATAGGAAGGTTAGGGTAAGGAGGGGTGGAGGGGGGGGAGGGGAGGGGTGGGAGGGTGGGTGGGGAGGGGTGGGGAAGGGTGGGGGAGGGAGGGGGGAGAAGGTGGGGAGGGAGGGGGGGAGAAAGGTGGGGGCAGGGGTAGAGGTGGGGGAGGGGGGAGAAAGGTGGGGGGAGGGAGGGAGGGATAGAGAAGGGTTAGGGAGGGGGGGGAGAAGGTGGGGAGGGAGGCGGGGGGAGAAGGTTTGGGGAGGGAGGGGTGCGGGGGAGAAGGTGTGGCGCTGGGGCGTGGTACAGTTGGGTTACGTCGGGGGGGTGCTACTGGCAGAGGAGGTGAGGGGGGAGAAGGTGGGGAGGGAGGGGGGGGAAGAGAAGTGGTAGGGAGGGGGGGGAGAAGGTGCGGGGGAGGGGGAGAAGTATTGTTTTTGGTGGGGAGCAACTTTTGAATTTTTTTTTGTCTGGAGTTTGCTTTGGATGAGGAGGGATTGGGCTAACGGGGAGCAAGCTTATTCTTTGGTCCACGCTCTGGAGATCTTACTCCCTTACCGGCGCGCTTTTTTACTTCCCCTCTACCTAATATGCTCTTCATCGACACTACTGCTTTTATTTTTTGGTTTATTTTCAGATGTTTACTCTCCTTACTCTCACTTCTATCTTCTCCTTATACTCTTTTTTATCAAACTCTATTCTGTTTTTACTCCAAGTACTCTTTACTCTTTTTCTCTTTTTATCTTACTCTATTTTCTCTTTACTCTAAGTCTTTACTCTTTTTCTCTATTTCTCCCTACTCTATTTTTCTGTCTATCTTTATCTCTGTCCCTCCTACTCTATTTTCTCTCTACTCTGTTTATCATTTGCTCTAATTGCTTCCTTTTACTCTTTTTCAAACATTTAACTCTTACTCAATAAATGATAGAAAAAAACGAAAAAATAAGAAAGGAGAGTGGAATGGAAGGGAAGAATGAAGGAAAATGGAAAAGAAGAAGGAGGAAGTAAAGACGTGGAAAAAAGAAAAAAGAAGACAAGAGAGAAAGGAAGAAAATAAAGGAAAGGGAAGATAAGAAGATTAAATAACGAAACAGGAAGAAGAGAACGGGACGAGGATAACGGAGAGAAGAGAAAAGAAAATAGAAGTAGGTGAGATGGATAGAAGAAGAAGAACAGGAGAAGAAAGGAAGGAGACAGAGATAATTGAATAACGGGGAGAACGGAGAGAAGAGAAAGGAAAAAAGAAGTGGGTGAGGAGGAGGATAGAAGGAGAAGAAGAACAGGAGAAGAAAGGAAGTAGACAGAGAGAATTGGATAACGGGAGAGGTGGAGAGGACGCGCACTCTCGCACCTCCATATAAGGGCCGAGTCTGGGTCGCTTTATGCTCCGGAGTACCTCTGGGATGCGACGTTGTGAAGTGACTTTGTGGAGTGATGTTTTTGAAGTGACGTGTGAAGTGACTTTGTGATGTTGTGAAGTGACAGTGAGTGAATGTTTTTGAAGTGACAATGAAGTGACTTTGAGATGTTATGAGTGACAGTGAAGT